GGGTGCGACGTTGAGACAAGACTTCCCAACCAGTTTCGAAGTAAAGAGACGCTCTACTAGCAAAAGATGGCAGGCCGGTGACAATACGCGCCGCTTCTAACTGGAGTTTTTCAAGTTTATTTGCATCGGCAGTTGTACAACCGTCCCAAACTTCGCAACAGTATTCAAGCAGAGGGAGTATAAAAGTAAGATAAATTCTGTTTAATGTCTTGCGATTTAAAGTATATTTTAACTTGCGGAGAATTCCTATTTGTTTCGTAACAGTTTTACAAATGTTATCAATATGGTGAGTCCATTTACAGTTAGCATCTAGGAAAATGCCTAGATGTTTATGATGTTCGATAAAATCAATATTAACATTATTAAAAATGAGATTGACATCAAGCTCAGCATTGGTATTTGAAATTAGTAGCGCTTCAGTTTTATTAGGATTAAATTTAACAAGCCAATTTTCTGCCCAGTTATGAATTTTTTCAAGATCTCGGTTAGTAGTAGTTTCTAGTTCAATTGCGGAAGGAGAAGAGACGGATAGGGAAGTATCATCAGCAAAAAGACGGGAAGGGCTGACAAGGTTATCAGTTATATCGTTGATATACAAGAGAAAAAGAAGCGGACCTAAGACAGAGCCCTGGGGTACACCAGCATTAGTTGTTTTAGTATGAGAAGTAACATTGTGGATGAAGACTTGTTGATGGCGATTCTGTACATAATCGGATAGCCAGTCTAAAAGATTTCCATTTATTCCATAGCTTTTTAATTTGTGTACAAGACCTGCATGCCAAACCCGATCAAAAGCTTTGGAAATGTCGCAAAAAACAAGACAGGTATGATGACGGTTTTCTAGATTTATGCATACATTATGATAAATTTCAATTAGTTGATGTACTGTTGAGTGACCTGGCTGAAATCCAGATTGGTATTTATATAACAATGAATTTTCTAATAAATAATTATGCAGAAATTTTGTAATAACTTTTTCAAAAACTTTCCCTACAGTGCTTAATAAAGCTATTGGTCTATAATTACTGGGGCATTGTTTATCGCCTTTCTTAAAAATGGGCATGACTAAAGCTTTTTTCCAGGAATTGGGATAAATTCCTTGATCAAGAGACTTTCTGAATATAAGAAATAGCGGAAATGAAACATAAAGAGCTGTGTTTTTAAGCATTTGGTGACTAATTTTATCATATCCAACAGCTTTACCTAATTTAAGAGACTTAAGGATGTCAACAATATCAGCTTGTGTAAAAAATATATTATCTATGCGACTTTGGGTTCTCATATCAACTTGTGGTAAAGGTACACCTGAGTCGTCTATAGTAGAGATAGACACAAAATAGTCATTTAAAATATTAGCTTTTCGTTCATCATCTACTGCAGTAGAATTAGTAATAGGGTCTTTTAGAGGAGGTATAATGTAAGATACATCTGCACTTTTAGTTAATCTCCGAACCAGTTTCCAAAAATTCTTTTGATTAGTTTTTGCATAGTTATCTAAAAGTCCATTAATATCAGCATAAAAAAGTTCTCTTGTTCTACGTTTGAGATTGTTGACATGATTTCTATGTTTTTTAAATTTAGCTAAATTCTCTATAGAAAAAACTCTTTTTAATTTTTTATGCAATCTATTTCTAATTCTAATTTCACGACGTAGTTCAGTAGTAAACCACGGTTTATCATTTGGTCTAACAGTAATAACCTTAGTTGGAATACAAAGATGAGCATATTCCAAATACTTATCTGTAAAAATCGAACACATATCGTCGCATGTGTAAGCATTTCTAAATACGTATTGCCAATCGGTGTTTTGTAACAGGTTATTAAATTTAGGATAGTCAGCATTTTTATAACACCAAATCATGCGTTTAAATTTGTTAGTAAGAAAAATGTTTAGTTTAATTTCAACGAGAGTAGCGTCATGGTCCGAAATGTCCCTGTCAATTTCAATAACATCGGAAAAACCAACAACGCATGTATCGCTCACGAGCACGGGGTCAAGGAGCGAAGCACGTGTTTGGCCTACCCGAGTTGGTTGGTTTATTACATTAGAAAACAGATACGTGCGGATAATGTCGTTCAGTTTATGACGAGTCTCAACCAGTAGGTCAACGTTTATGTCACCAACTATAATGACATGTGGGTTTTCATCAAGTGCATTTTCAATGGAGTTTTCAAATTGTTCCCAAAATGGATTTACACAGTCATTTGGTATATATATATACTGTACATAGAAGATACGAGGAGTTATTAAAAATAATTTCGACCCAGATGGCCTCACCTGATGGAAATTCTAAATCAAAACGCCGCTAGGCAGAAATTAAAGGCGAAATATAAACAACGACACCCCCACCCTGTGAATATTCACGGCTTTCCGGAAAGGATTATTATTAAAACCTGGAAGTGCTATTTTGTCGTCAGATATAAGTGGGATTCCGTGATACATACTACGTGAAATTCGTCTGCGATATTTTCAAGGTGAGTTAGCTTATTTCGTAAACTACGTATATTTAAATGGAAAATTGTTAATGCATCGGAAGATGCATCAGGCCCAGGGTTTTCATGTATGTCCATGCAAATCAATAATAAAAGATGGAGGATAAGGATGAAATTAGTGTTACTGAAATAGCTATGTATAACATAAAAGAGAATACTGTATTGTGTGGTCTTAAATGTAAGAAGAAGGATTTCAAATAGATTTATAAATTCATCAAATACGAAATTTAAATTAATTTTAAATATTGAAGATGAGCTCGAGTGGTTACAGTGTGTACGCATGTAGAAATTGCCGACCGCCACCCTGTGTGCTACTATATCGTTACCCATTATCAAGAACGGTCATGGTTGGGTGGCTATCGGCAAAGAACATACGCACGTGCGTATACACCTGTCCAACAGTACAAACGGGCTCGAGGTGAAGGTCACACAGAAGTAAACAAGAGGGAAGTGGGAAGAGAAGGGGGAATAGTAAACAGGAAAGGTAAATAAAAGAAATCATAGGTGGAGAACCGAAGGATGTTTCTGCTGCTATAAAGAAGAGTAAGAGTTAAAATGATTGTTAGATAGATAGACCGACAGATTATGATTATTTTGTATATAATGACAATGTATAGAAAAATGGGAAAACTATTTACATTTTCAGCATGGTATAACTATATGAATAGCATAGTCATTAATTATATACAAGTCAGCTTGGGACAAACAGATTATACAAATGTGTACAATTGGTACACAAACAACACAGGGTAGGGTACTATAGGTAGACACTTTAAATAGCTTATATTGACAAGGTAGACATAATCAGACTACGTAGGGTTACACATAGACCATATCATAGGTAAAACGAAAGAAGGCATGGGTAATCACGAAGGCATATTTTGGGGAGACACGTGAATCATACGGATATCAATCAAGACAGACTACCTGTTTTAGTGATAACAGTGAAAACAATATAGTTGTCTTCTGTGATATCAACCATCATAGGATACTTGATTTGAGATATCAATCATCACAGGATATCTGTAATTGTGGTTCTTGTCAATCAACACATGATAATTATTTGAAGATTCAAAACAGCACATATTACTTTTTTGGATATCAAACAATAAATGATACTTATTTTGGATATCAAGCAATAAATAATACTTGTTTTGGATATCAAACAATGAATAATACTTGTTTTGGATATCAAACAATGAATAATACTTGTTTTGGATAGCAAACAATAGATAATACAATGAATATTACTTGTTTTGGATAG